ATGTCATGCTGTCGATGATGATGATGATGAGTCGTCTCAATGTTATCACTCACCATTCCTGAGCGTCACTCCCGACCTCGCCTGCGTTTGGAGTCCGCGGGTGCAGCAAGCAGTCTGATGTTTCAGTCCGGTTACCCGCAAATTAGGGTTTTGTAAACGTTTCGGACCTCGAAGATGCGTTAATTATAGTAACTCATAGTGATTCTTCTTGATGAGAAGTGCAGTTTTCACCTTCGTCTTGTAAGATGTGTTTCAAATCTTACGAACCTACGTTCTGGAAGAAGAGCAGTGTCAGTAACATCTTTCTACCAATTCTACGTCGAGTATCACCCCGTGTGAAAGCCGTTTTCGCCTTTTCACACTCCGAATCACGTTCATTCTTTCTATAGCTTGGAATCAAAGTGAGGTAAATGTACCGGCAACCCCAGTCCCGTTAGCAACTGCAGTCTTCCAGAATGGGACCTCAGGGTTAGATAAACCAGTAGTTGGTGACCGAAAGACATGGTCAAACCACGTAGCGATTGCTGATCCTGCATCAAAACTATCGCTTACCTTAATCTGCCAGACTTGTAAACGTCTTCAGCGATAACGAAATATTCAATCCACTGCGCTTTGTTATCGGTTCTGAACCAAACCTCAACCTACAGCTTGCTTGTCTAGATTTTTTCTGAACTTTGTCTGGAAACTGTCCCCTAGCAGCGCTAGATGTAACAGACGCTTCTCGATGTTCCTCCAGCTGGTGCTTCCGTTCGTAGGATATTGAATCCGAATGGATCAGGAGTGCGGTCGGACAGTTCGATCGTTTTACGGATTAAACGAGCGCCTCACGGACAGGAGTATGTCATCTCCTTGCGTTGTCTTTTACTCTCTTTTGTCACTATCCTCTAACTCGATCTCCAGTATCGGCCATTTTTCGCCCACACAACACAAAAATTCTGCTTGCCTCCTTCGTGGGCTTTCAAAAAGTTTTCGGTAGCCCTATGAGTAGTCTGATTAATCATGTTCCGCACTTTTTCTTGCCGTACGGTTTTTAAAACGACGTGGGCGAACTTTCTAGCCATTCTTACTTTTTCACAAGGGACATCAGTTTTAATGCTTTGCTTTTTTGATGATTACGATTGATTACGATGATTACGAGAGTAATGTGTACAAAGTATTGCCACCTCTTTTTCATTGACAATTTGTGTTCGTTCAGCTAACCGACGACTTTTGGATCTCTCTCGACAAAGTACTCCTACCACTTTGAGTCCGAAGTCAAACTGTGCTCTCCAGCCAGAAGTATTCTTGCCACTTTTGCCACAGGTTCCACAGTGCTCTTTCGCGCTTCCCGTCGATTCAGCGTACGTCCTTTAATGAGCAAATTTGTTGTTATGTTTACTGACTTGTCTCATCACTAACACACATCACTAACGAATTCCGGGTTTTTTCTTTCAGGCAGACCAACGCTGCTCAGTTGTCCAAGCCGGTGGCCTTTTGGGCTGTTGACTTATCTTCCACAGCTTGGATTTGTTTTCTAACATCACGATCTCATCAGAAGGGTCGAGTGACGAGCCTGGCCTGTTTCCCAGTTCCTGCTGACTTGGCCACACAAGAACCCTCAGAGGCACCATCCCTCGCTCACTGGCCTCTATCTTATCTGCCAGCCACTGATGCCGTGTACGTGCCCGTATCCCGCCTTACTGCCTGTCTCGAGTTGGGAACCGGAGTCATCCTGTACACCGGGATTACTAAGGTACGTTTTGTACTCACTTGGTGCCGTCCTTCAGAGTGAGTGGTTGATATCACTGTTTGTCGAACTATTAAGTTAGATCTCCTCATTTTCCCTTCCGTCTCGCGTTCTGAGTCAATACACGAGCATTAGAGAATGTTGCTGTTTTATCTTGATCTTCAGCGCAGTTACTGCTTGAAGTGTATTCAGTTGCTTATCCTTTGTCACATCTTCCGCGACGCAGAGGTTAATTACTTCCACGGGTTTTGAAGTTCAAACACCTGTATGTCTTCAATTTCGACTGTCAGTTCTTTATAGTTTGCTGAATTCTGAAACAAGAGACTCCTTAAGATCCCTGAATTTTCTTGGAAACCGGTAATTAGTTGATTTCAAACACCACTGATAGTGTGAAGTTTTCTGCCACAACCAGGTACGAGCGAGAATTTTTTCGCAAATCAGTGTCAGCGTATCTCTTCGGACTCTAAACTGAACTATATACACTTCAACTTGCGCTCTGTAGCAAAGCAGCTTAAACACGTGCAGTCGGCGATTGGGAGACTCAGTTTACTTGAAGCCGTGCAGCACTGAACGATATTAATTCAATCGTCATGCCGTATCTTAGGAACTGAGTGAAATGTAGGGTGTGAAGAGGTCCTGGTGAGCTGTCTGATAACGTTACGGCGGATGATTTGAAATGGAAACAACGCCAGTCGAATGGAGCGTCTCGACCATGATCTTAGTTTTTAAAAGAAGGTCCCAAGAACGCCATACGAAAACCATCGTGGCACCAACATGGTATCCGTTGCATCCAAGGTGCTTTCTGGCATAATGTACAGGTTGATCGATTATCGGGAATCAAGCTGGGTACCGTAATTTCCGGGGGCGTCCCTTTCATACTTACATCTCCTATGAGGATACTGTATGTGAACTCCTGTGGATGGGCACAAGTACACGGCCAGCTTCTGCCACAGTTCACCACGTCCAGTGTTGTAAGACGACACTGCCTTTTTTCGCCTTTCCTCTTCAACTTTGTCATTGATGTGCTGCTTGAGATTTCTCTGCCTATCTCTGAGAACTTGGTGGTGTAAATTCCCCCATCGCGTTTGCTCACAGACAGTATGCGGACTATATTGCTCTCCTTAGTTCAGATCCTTCAAAAATGGAAACCCTTTTACATAACCTGAATAATTCTGTCGCCTGGTTTGACATACGCTTCACACCTGCAAAGTGTAGAGTGCCGCTACAAGACTGGTGGCATCAAGCCTAAACATCATGCTTGCAGACGAGCCGATTGATGTGGTAGATAATTTTTTTTTATCTGGCAGTTGTATACGTTCCGGTGGAGGAGTTGGAGATGAGATTACTTCTCAGGTCGGGAAGGCCAGAGCAGCTTTTTCCAACCTCCGACACCTATGGGGCCGACGTGACATCAGCTTGTTTGTCAAGGTCAGAGCTTCCACTTCGACAGTGCGGTCCATGCGGCTTTATGGATAAGAAGCGTGGTCTTTGTGCGCATGGGTCATACGAAAGCTGTCAGTGTTTGACCTCGGTGTGGGGGCGAGATGGCTCAGTGGTTAGATCGCGAATTTACTGACCGGAAGGTTCGTGTTTCGAGCCCGACCTCTGCCTCTCGACTTTCCGTGTCTATGCTTGGGCTACCTGGCAGTATCCCAGCCGTCTTACTTCTTTTGGGTGGTATGGCAGCTAGGTGCCGAAAGGGTGTCACAGCTGAACGATTGCATGACTACTGCTACCTAGCTATCGGTGTCCCTGAAGCGCTGATTGAGTCTGGTGGTGACATCGGATATGCCAGAGGGAGCTCTACCACAATGGATAAATTACTCACGCTTCATAAGTTAGGACATATACTCCGCACGGCAGAGGATCATCTGCCTCACATAGCTGTTTTCCCATCCCTTTGCTAAGTGGACAGTGTATGATTTGGCAACATTAACGAGTAAACTGAGTCGGGTCGATAACTGCTGCCTCCCTGGATAATAACTGCGGGACTCAACTTACTAGTGGCCAGTCACGCAGTCAGTGGCTTGTGCTTCAAAGCTATCACCTTCAATGCGTAGCTGCCTAGTTTCCTAACTGAACATGCCACCGGCTCCGATGCTCGACTGTATCCCCTATGCTCCACCTTCAGGTGACCAGAACTGTAGCAGCTAGAGCCAACATATCATTGGTACATGGTCTGTGACTGATAGACTGAACTGATCTGAACCGAACTAAGGTCACCCACTGTACTCATTTAGTGAGTGGTGTTCGATTGGCGACCTTGTGACAGTTTGATTACTCATAACGTAACGCCTTTATTTTGACCTCGACTTTTGCCTTGAACTTGAGTTAGAAAAGGAACATAAAGTGCGCAAGGCACTTTGAAAAGCCCGATTAATGAACGAAATACATTGTGTCTTCAATCCTTTGTCACCGTCTCTCAGTGTCCTCGTCTTACCGGGTCCGAAATTCGCGTATAATCAGCGTGAACTATGCCTCTAGTTCAAGACGTTCTCCGTCTTATTAACGGTGGTCGTCACACGAGAAATTTAATGCCTCTAGTTTTGCTCCTCATTTGTTTTTGAGCAATGAAGCGGTCCTTCAACTAATTTCTGCAATCCAGACCAAGCCATCTGGCTGCTCAGCATATGTCTTTTGAGAATTAGTTAAGGGGTGTTGGTTATGCTGATGGATAAGGCTGTTTGACACAACACTGAGGCACGCATCAGACGATGTATCGGAATTCACGAGTGCGGGTAGTGGTTGCACGGATCAAAGCTAGGTGGTATTCTTTGACCCCATGTGTCCTGAGTTATCTCTAGCCTTTGGGGACCCGCTTAGTTCACAGGTGGGCAGTGAGCACTTTATTTTGCCACGTAATAGCCATCCCAATGACCGTTTTCTTTGTTTCCTTTTCCAGATATGCGTTCTTGGTGTCGGCCCCCCACCGTTGTTTTCAACTCGATCTTCAGTCGCTAGTCATCGGACGCTGGTACGGAACCGGAAAAATCGTGCACCTCAATCGGTTCACTGTCCATTTGCAATCCGACCGGATTCGACCGCACTGGATTGTCTGAATGAGCACACGGTCCCGAACATTTTAAACCGAGTAGACTCCTGTATCCGTGATTTCTTGTCAGCTGGTATTTCAGGAGACTTGGGTTGCACTGACACTCACAAACGAGTGAGTTTCCGGGTCTAATTTGTGTTAATTTGATATATTCGTGGGCTATTAATTTGGTGTATTTTCATCTGATTACAGCTTACAATTGAATCTATTGCCTAAATCACCACATATGTCAAATGACTTAATCCGTCGGTGAACGATTCTTTTGTTTTCAAACACAGGACGCAATCATTCACTCAACAGCTCTTCAAGAGTTTGCACAAGCGTACTTCCGATCTTTTGGTAGCTGGCGCTTACGCCCAGTTGACTTAAGCGGCACGAGTAGTCAGCTGTTTGTGAGATTTATCGGCAGCTTCTCTAGAATTCCGTAAAAGCTGTTGTGATTTATGTGAATAGCAAAACGCGAACAGTTCACCTACATTATGATGTGGTTTATTTCGCCCCCGAGAAAAAAGCACACATCGGAATAGACCAATCCTTTGAACGTCCTCCGTCAACTACGATTTAATATGGGCTATCTCTGGAAGCGGACCGCTCTCTAGAGTACCAATTTCCCATGGGGAACCCACTTAAGGATCACATTCACGATAAGAATATGTGAAGTCGCGTGTGTTTTTTGTTTTGGATGCTATCTAATGAATAGCAGACTTTGTCACTAAGGCAATTCTGAGGTTCTCAGTTTCGGAAATTTGAAATCGGTTTTAGCATCAAAAATTTCTTGCTAATGTGAGGAGATTTTGGATTTTTTCAGCGGAGATTTTATCCCGCATTAATTGAAGCCTATCTGTACTGAAAAACCTAGGAGCACTACACAACTGTTCCACCTTCAATGAGAATAATCGACAGTAAGCATTTCATGACGCTCCATAGAGTCTCAAACCAGCGACCTCTTAGGTAGTATTCTGAACACTTGACCGTTCAGCACTGCGAGGCTGATCTGGCACCTGAGAAAAGAGCTTGTTGGCTGCATTGTGAACATTCTCTACTTTGTATAATGTTGCACCTGTGTATTTTTCTGACATCACAAGAGTGCTGTTGGCAAGTCTTAGAGCACCGCCGTTTGTTTAAACACGCTTGAGAAAAACGATCCACACTTCTTTCTCAGTAAGGTCCATGTTATCAATGGGCTGCCACGTCAAACAGTTCGACGTTGTAATCGCAATTGATTACCCATCCCATAACATCAGTGAGATCTTACCGACTTGATGTAACCCATAGGTTAACTTTTGATGCGCACGTACCATTCCTCGGAGCAGTTGGCAGCGGCAGTATTGTTTGAGGGTAATACAGCGGAAGTCTGGGATGCAATAACGTACAGTAATTCAACGGTTACCGAGTTTCTCATAACTACAGCTGCTTTCGCTCGTGTATAAGAATAGGCTTTTGTGATAAATTCTCTTGTTTGGTGGTCCCTATGTGGATTCAGAAGTTATGAACAACTTATATGCCCCGATAAGTGCCCTCCTCATGCGCCGATACGACTAATCTGGTTAGTTCAGACGAAAGCGAAGAAGCACTGGACTAGAGTTTCGCTCTTGTTGGAACCAATCAGTAGTGCATAAATCTGTTTGCCGGGCTGCAAAGTCCGAATACCTAAATTGAAATTTTTGTGTATGTTACCCTACACCTATACTCTTGCACACAGTGCTGTTCGGTCTCTTGTGCACTACTCACTGTAATTCGGATGTCATTAGTTCGAAACCTACATTCGTGTTTGCAATGTGGACACCGTCCCGTAGGTGGACGAGTTCAAGTTTTTTACATAGAGCATGTGTTCCAACATATTACTGTCATTGTACCAATGTTTGGTATTTCCTTGGCAGTTCGCGAATTGGTTCGTCCGGACCGTTGAACCCGTAACAAACTGCGGCATCACACCTGTTGCCAATTGCTCCACAATCGATGATGCTTCTGGAAATTCGTTCAACTTCAGGCTCACTGACATGGTGAATCCTACTCAAGATAACCAACCGCTACGAGTTTATCTTCCGTCAGTATCGGAAGATGAGCTTGGTGAGTTTGGTGTCATCTACACTCCCTGGAAACGGAGTTTTTAACATTTATTCTTTACCAACCCCTTCAAATTTTATCGACCTGACGCTGTCTTATTCAACAAAGATTGTTCGACAACGGAAATCATTGATATTACGTTTTGACACAAACGTCCCACGGCATACCCTACAAATTCTGAACAGACTAGTGTATGATCACTGGAACATGTGGTGGTTAAATGAAAAGTTCCAATCAGTTGTTCATAATTCTTTGATGACGGGATCGCGCGTGGTATCTGGATACACTTTCTTATATCGGGCTCCACGGGAATTGGAATCATGCAAAGATCGTCGATGGTGTATATTTTCAAATTTTGCCATACAGGTTTATGTACAACTATACTGAAAACATTCTGCTGGATCGAAGTGCTAACATCAACAGCTGCTTTCAGGTTGGTTAGCGGGTCACTGTATGGTTGCTCCAATGAAGCTGTACGTATTGCTCGGATTCATTTGTGCTTCTATGGTTCTTCGGTTCTAAGGCATCATCTCTTACGTGAAGAGAAAACCTCTAGGTGCGAGGTGGCCCAAGTGGTTAGAATGCGAATTTACTGACCGGAAGGTTCGTGGTTCGAACCCGACCTCTGCCTCTCGAATTCCCCTGTCTAGGCTTGGGCAACATTGCAGTATCCCGGCATTCGTGCAACCTTTGGGTGGCATGGCACTTAGGCACCGAGAGGGTGCTAAAGCTGAACGATTTTTTTTATTCGATAAGCGTCCGGGTCCGAAGCTAGATGCTTAACCTTTGTTCGAATGGATAGCTACTTTGTGGGATCACTTTAACGCTATTTTGAAGTAACGCTTTGCTTTGTTTTCACCCTCCAGTCCAGCGTTGTCTGGTTTCTCTGAAACAGAGTTTGCCACCCGATGTCAGTTTACACCTGCTGAGTCGTTGGTTCGCAGTAAACAACGCTCCTGGCATATCATGCATCCAGTTCGATCCACCTTCAACTCCTTTTATTGGATCGCCTGAGTGGATACGCTTTACCCAGTTCATGCTTCAAGCCTGTGGGTTCGTATTCCTCAGTGACTACGAAAGCGCTCAGCAACCTGTCCACTCTGGCGATAGGACTCCTGTCGGTCCAATACCACCAGGTATATTACTGGCATTTCATGCCCTCAGTTTTTTGTATTTTGGGAAATCAATTCTACCGGCAACTGCCTTCTTTTTGGGGGCGTTTTCATGAGTTGACCTTGTCATTTGAAAAAAAATAGCTCTGTATTAAGAGATCAGTCGTAGACGTTGTTGTGAGGTTGTGTAAGATATCAAACTTATCGTTAGATGCATTCATGAGTGAAACCGAATGAGTTGCCCATCCTTTAACATCGAGTGTGAACAGAGGAACTTCTGAGCAATGTCACACTAGAGGCAGTACGTCACCGTGAGTAAGGCTTGACTACTTAGTCTTCGTTTCTCCTAGTTCCATAACTGCGATTAACCTACTGCGGCGTCTATAGCTTCTCGGCGGGCATATGTTCTTTAGGGGCATCTAACCCTACATTCCCTCCGACATTACATAAGTGTGCTGATGGATTTAAGGTTTCTGAATGTCATCCTTCGATCAATGCCCAACGTCAATGTGATTTAATGTCAATAGAACAGTATTTTTTCGCATCTGACAGACACCGTCGTAATCGAAAGAACCCCCAACTTGTCAGTTAACTCAATGGCCCTATATCTGTTTCACCAGTGTGGTATGGTACTAACCGGAAAATCATCAGCCCTGTTACGATTATTTCGATCGTATCCAACCGCCTGCTTGTTTAGAAACTGTTCGACAATGTAAAGGACGTGTAATTTCGGGACAGCTTCTCCGTAGTGTGCGATTCTTCTCCCCGTTTTTTACAACTCAATAGTGATTTTTGCAGCTTGTCGCAAAACGAATCAGGTAATACAATAATTTTGGAAAAGTGGGGCTCGCCCGAGTATTCCAAAAACGAAATTCCAACCCATAAATAGGCTTGTAGCCGTCTTGTATCACTGGACAGTGGAACTACCTCTACGCCTGCAATATTTTCCCACAATTATGTTATCATTGTATTCGGTGTTTGATTAAGAGTAGTAAACAAAAGACGAATGTAAGGTTTCGTTCACTATTGATTTCACTTAGTGTGGCTGGCGATGCTCACACTATATTATCGTTGTCTGAAGCGCGAAATGGGGTAGCAGACTAGTGGTATTGGGCATTGTTACTATAAGTTCTCACTGTTGTCATTTTTGGCACAGAGTCCAAACTCTCCACTTTCTTTGAATAAACGAGGTACTACGTACCAGCTGTGCACGTCATTCTGTCCTCAGTTTCTTAAGGCTTAATTAGGAATGTCCTTCAAAAAGTGATTTTCGAGAACTGCCCGTACTCCGACGCTCCCGATCACCAGAAGGCAGAGGACCAAATAGTACTCTACTTTTGATAGCCTGATGTGCCCGTCGATCCAGATACAGGTGACCAACCCTAAGGTTCTCTGTTCTCTGACGAGATGTTCATACCTCTCCTTGACACAACCGCGCTTTTTGTTCGGATTTGTTTTGAACAACTCCTCCGTAACAGAAAGAAACAATGACCATGGTACACTTATTTGTATTGTTTGAAGACTCAAATTTTAGGGACTACGTTTGCTTTTGGGTACAATTATCTCGACGGTTCATAAGAAGGCCCTGTCTTTTTCATCGCATAGCATTCTGAAGTATGGAGGAGCATCGGTGAATATATATGATTGCAATGGATAGTTGGAGTTAGGCTCTAAGTAACCTGACAGAAATTCGCGAGGTACACTCGCTTACACACCAATTGGGTTTCAAAGGTGACGTAACTGAATCCAAGCTAATTTTCCCGTTTATGATATTCTTCGACTGGATGTGCTGCGCAAAGTCAGCATCCTGTTTCAGTTGGTACAACATTTAAGTAGTTTCCAAGTACAAGATGATTTTAACGGAAGCTCAGGGACTGCGCCTACCTGATGGGCCCCAAGAACACCGGTCATGGGGTGTCGAAGTTCTCAGCAAAATTATGAGTAGTTTCCTTCAAGAAGAAACTGACGAAGACTTAGCGTTCAAGCACACATCCATTCTTACTTAGTTTGCTTACTCAAGTTTGCTTTTTGTATCCAACAGATGCTCTCATTGAATGACGCTTTTAGTATATGGCGCGCCATATCCACTTCACCGGCGCCCTCGAGTTCTTTGAGAACAGCTAGGTTTTTGATCTTGCTTCTGCGAAATGTCATGTCAAGTGTTCCCATCTGAATGGATATTCTTACAGCTTACTTCCTGTAAATACGTTATATCACGTCAATTGAGTGCTTGATTGCTTTGTAGCTGAATCGTGACGTCTCATTTTCGGTGTGGATCAGTATTTAGTGTGACTTATGCTGCTTATGGAAAGAATTTTTTTCATCGGTCTGGAGGAAGATCTAGACTTATTGGTAATCGTTTTGTTGCCTTTTCCAGTTACCCAATCGGAGCCCCGTCTTGGGAAACGTCAACGTGCGCAAACACATGACTCAGCTAACTCTTGGGAAGAGCTCTGTACACTTCTGGGCGACTGTACTATCGCGGATCCGTCATTACTGGCCAATAAAGGTACTCTGGCCGACCAGACTCCTGACCGAATTGAACGCTTTTCTTTACACCTGTCTTCTGCCATCCGGACAGATCCTGCCAGTCGCACCGTTCTATCAAATCTACCGACTATTTTGCTCAGCTGTCATCTTGTATATGAAGTAAGCTGAGGACATACTGCTCCTACTTGCCATCCTTTTTCCCGAATTCCATTCTCCCCACGATGCGTTGCACATGGTAACGGAAAATTAAAGGAAGGGTTTATCTCTAGCACCCAAACCACTCCTTACCGTACCCCTCATTGACAGCTGGCTGCATGAGAAAGACACGGTAGTTCAGTCTAAGTTACCCATCTCTTCGTTTTGATATGAAGTGCCCATCGCAACCAATAGTAATCGACAGTACCCTATTTATCATTTCTTATGTGGTTGTCTCTCTTTCCTTTACAGGAAGCGAAACTGAATCGAATTATGATGCCACACTTGCTACCCTTGGCGTCATTCAATGTCATCTTGAGTCGGTAGGTTCTGGACCTTTATCTGGATGGTGCAGCTGATAATGGTTCTGACACTGCTCGAATGTAAATGTTTAATTAACTGATGTCTTCTTCCCGTTTTACGTAGATGATGATTGTTGGATACCTGATCTTAGCACTTTGTAATGCACGGAGCACTTTGTTTTCCACACACTTTAAGATTTCGCTGATTTTCGTGCAAAAGCAGAAAATGATGGAAAAGTTGTGGAAAATGTGCAGCTGCAGAGAGGAATGCAGGCTACTGAATTGTCGAAGAATATCACGAAAATTTTCTGTGCACATGTTTAGTTTTGTAGGTAGCTTTTGACCACCCTATACCCCATCAAATGACTGGAAGAAATCAGATATGATTCATTCAATCAGAAGGCTGAGTTATCAGGTCTCATTCCCTAACAGAACACTGAAACCTACCTGGCCCACTTCATAAGTTTCTGCATTCTGCCTCTCCCTTGTCTCGAAACTGTGTTCGTGGAAGTTTGCCGTGAGGTTCCTTCTAGTACGTAGACCGGGATACTATCACTCAGTCCACATCTAGGCACTCATTTTTGCATGGTATCAGGTGGCATGCCGAGTTGGATTAGGGTTGCCACCGGAAGGACTTTTTCTCCTTACCTCTAACAAAACCAGTACTGGGAAACATCTGATCTCCAAATGAGGTTTACTGGTTTTGGCTTTGGTTAGTCGCCTTACGGAGAGCTAACATCTAAAGTCTAATCAGTCGGCGGGTGTTGGGGGAAGTGACTTTGGTGCATTTCTTTAGCGTAAACCTGTGTAACGAAAATTGGTATTGTTATGCTGATTGCTCGTTGACCATATATTCCATACCACTGAGTATGGAGAGCGTTTATTTTTGACATGGTTCTTTTGTGTTACATGAATGAAACAAACAGGGGATTAAGTGGTCGGATTGAAGCGGTGTTGGTTTAGGGTTGGGATGGGTGCCATGGCACCTTCAGATGCCTTCTTTTTATTGAGTTAGATTCATCCCGACGTTCATCCACATGAGCGTGACGGTGGATGTGTTTGTCTTTCCATATTGCCTTACTAAAGTCATTGGTTTCACGACACCGAGCCTTCGTCCGGAGGTACAACTTTTTCCTAGGTTCAGGTGGATGCCGATTTACTTGAGTTTCCCGGTGACTCCTATACTGCTGTCCGCCTTTCCAAATATTGTCCACCAATGTGAGGTAGTTTGTTTGTAACGAGAAATGATACGGACATTCTGTTTAGGTTATATTACACGTGTTTAATTGAATTACTGATAGCACTATCGGGTGTCGATGATGTCGATTCACGTTCGTTTCCTCCCACCTCAGTACGCTGAGCCTAGAGTCATATCTCGCCTACTACTTCACCGAATGGCCCGAGTTGACTACTTTTGGACTATTGCCATCAGACTGGAAGCTGCCTAGCGAATCTGTGGTGTGGCCCACCTCAATGCCTACTGATTATGCACCCTCTTTGATTGTCTGGATGATCAAGCAGCTGGAGCTTTCAGCCTCGGTTTCACCCTCTCAACCCTATGTTCATTTATCCGGTGTCAATGACCTGGCTGCAACTATGGCGGGAATGATTTTGGCAGCATTGTGTCCGCCAGAAGTCATGTATCCAATGGCCAATCGAGACAACGAGGGCGAAGGAGTCAGAATTCAGCATTTGGTCGATTGGTGGAATGCACGCATTTGTCACGTGGATCATCCTGGAATTTCGAATGCGTCTCACAGTTTATCCTACACCTTAGGTTTGTGGATTTTCCCTTTGCACTCGCAAGTGGTTTCAGTTCGTTGGAAACTCTTAGTACTTCTGATCCCGTTTAACATAAGGTAGCGTATGTTCTCACATTCTCTCCTTAACCTAACTCTTACCGAAAGACGACTTCTCTGAAGGTGTCTGGCTGTCGTCAATTGTGATTGCGGTTGTTTCTGTTTCCTTCAGGTAACTTTCAATCTCATTCCGCTTCTATGACACCTGCTGAGGCTCTGCAGTCTTCTCTGGACTCTTTGGGACCGTTTCGGAAGGCGTTTGTCAAAACTTTGTTTGCGGCTAGCACAATCAAAGCTTTCGACCAATTATCCGCAGGCGAAACCAGCAAACAGAGTTCGAGTCAGATGAGCTCACCACATAACTTGGCTATCATCTTTCTCAGCCAGTTGGATGAGAGTTCGTCTGATACTCATTCTTCACTGGATAGCCGTTTGCGTTCTCTTCCAGATGCCTTGTCAACGTTGCTGAATCTGTGGTTAAGCCGTTCTTGTGCGAACCCCCCACCTGATTGTGCTCCCAACGTTTACCGTCTCATGAGTAAGCTTCTTTACAGATTTTCCATCACTGTCATCTTTGAAGTTTTACCTTTGCTTGTCCTGTAACTGATGACCGGTGTACGGTAGTGTAGTTGACCTATTTTGATACACCTAGGTGTAAGGCAGATGTGTAACTAAACTCTCAAACAGCTGATATTTTGACACAATCTTAGCAGAGAATCCAGGGCAGTGTGACGGCTCTCACGGAGTCGGCTTTCGTTGCTAGAAAGAATGTAAGAGGAACATCTGCGCTTGGATATGATTGCTCATTAGTAGCAAACTGTAGCATGTTGGAAGGCTGTATGAATCAATTATGGCACTCACTATGGCGGTCCGGTATGCGGAAGGATCGGTAGGGGGGGGGGGAGAAAAGGCTTGTGTGGACCGCGAGATGAACAGACGGACCGGTTGCAGATAAAGGACGACCAATAGGCGCCCATTGCTTCGCAAAATGTCGCTTGTCCTAGTGTGTACTGTATTGCATACTGTCGCATTTGCAATGTGCGAGATGTGCATCATAGTCAGACATACGGGCCAACGGACCGCGAGATGAACAGACGGACCGGTTGCAGATAAAGGACGACCAATAGGCGCCCATTGCTTCGCAAAATGTCGCTTGTCCTAGTGTGTACTGTATTGCATACTGTCGCATTTGCAATGTGCGAGATGTGCATCATAGTCAGACATACGGGCCAACAGGGAATAGCGTGGATGGGGATTTGATATTGCGCGCTCCCTGGTAGATAGGAGTGACTGATTCTGTGGCTTGCGGTCAGGTGGGTAGCATCCCGAAATTCCTTCTGACCGTCCACGCAACCCACGTCTGTTTCCAATAGATAACCATTTCTTCCAGTTCCTTTTTATCGGTAGATTAGACAGGGTCGTCTGGGTAAACTAAACCAACCGAATGTTCCGTACCGGCTTTTGATCATATTCTTACCGCTTAAACCGAACACCTCACCCTTTAAGCATAGGTTCTGATTATTTCTTTCTTTCAGGACGTGATGATCTGGCTCGCATGGCGGAGCTTTCGTCCATGGGCAAATCAATTCCGGGAAAACGAGTGTTATCAACGGACGAAGCTTCTCGGAAAACTCCATTCAAAACCACCGCACTCTCTCTGATCCCCAATCAACATGCTCCTTCCCACTCGTCCCACTCTGAGACTGACATTTGGGCTGGTTCTGTTTTGCCCTGGTATCAACTTCCCCTTCCGTCTGTTTGTGCCAGGGACAGCGGCGCTCGAAACTTGCTTTCTAATCGGCATCGCCTACTCTGGCAACTGGAGAACAACCCGGCTAGCCAGGTTTCGTTCAAGGTTTGTTTCTTATTTTTGTCGGCACGTACTTTTCTGAAGTGGTGATTTGACGTACATTTAGTTTTGCAAACTCATCTTCCACTAGAATCCACATTCATCCATCATGCTTAATTTGAAAGATGCTTGCAATTCGCAGGATGATCTTCGTTTGCGCGAGGCTTATCGACTGCTCCAGGCCAGTAGCCACATTCGCCTTCCCCGCCTCAGTTCCAGTGATACAGTAGCAAGTACTACCACGTCAGATGAAACTACTAGTGAACAAGGTTCAAAGCTTTTGGAATCTCGCTTGGCTATGCACGTTGCAGCAGCTGGAGTGCGGGTCTGGGCATCCGCTGTTGGGCGTGGTATGCTCGGTTTGGGCAACCTACAGGGATCGCGCGTACCAACACAGCTACGTGTTCCAACTATTTGTTTACGCGGGCGAGCTGTATCACCGACCAGCGGTCGACGTGGTTTGTTCGATTTGGCCCGTGATTCTCCCAGTCCACTGCCTCCAACTAACAATCCTGGAGCCGGTATCGGTGTTGCCGGGATTGGCCGAGTTGATGCTGTGGCTCTTGATGGTGCCGGGGGGCTAATAGGAGATACCGCTGCAGGCGAAAGACGAACTCCAGCTTTAAACGGAGTGCTTCCTACCGGAAACGACTTGACTGGGGTACCATTCACTGAAGCTGTCGACGCCTCAAACCATCCAGGTAACGCCTTGACGTTGGCAGTAGCCTCTGCCGTTGCAGCAAGTGGTGCTGGAGCTGCACTTCGTGTAAGTTTCTTTGAGAAAAAAACATTTCACTGCAAATTCTTCAATTTTACTGATCCTTATGCTAGTCTGAACTTCGAATTAAAGAATGCTACTGTGCGGATATATGCTTTATCCTTCTGACATTTCTAGACTGCGGCTTTAGATCTTCCTCGAATGGTTCTTCGAGGCGGTTTGGCCGCAGTTGCAACCAATTCAGCATCTTCCACGGCCTCTCTCTTGTCGACTGCCAACTTACACCAGACGCCTGCTGTATTGGCTGCAAAGCACTGGCCCGAATTCCACAACGGGGTTTCTGTGGGATTAAGTATTGCGCCAAATGCTTCCGTAAGTGAGATTTTTGTATGCATGATTTTCCACTGAGATATGTTCTTATCAGTCACAGCGGATATAATCGTTCAGCTCTAACACTCGTTATCTAGCTACCATGCCACCCGAAAATACTGTTGTGTCGCCAAAACCTAGATAGGGGCAGTCGAAATGCGGAGGTTAGTCTCGAACCAGGAACCTTCTGGTCAGTAAGTTCGAGCTCACAAGTTACGGTTGTGCATAACAATGCCGAGTCGGTGTCACCCTCCTTTCAGCATCCAACTTACCCAGTATTCACAAATGGAAGATTTTGTTACTAAGTGACCGGACATTTTTGGTCATGTGCTTAGTGCGGAAGAATCACTATCACTGCTTTTCCTCATTTCATTCACTTCTATCATGACAAGGTTCACATATTATTAATTATACTGTGGTTGTCATCGAACTCCACAAAGTCGCAATTTAAGTTCATCTAGTGTACAAGCTACCTTCTTGGGCGCCATTCCGAGTCCTCATTGGTTGTTCGAATTATTCCGGTTGTGGTCGTTTCGGGGGCTCATCGTTTTGTGCGAAAACCAGCATTACAATCTACTAAAAGCTCAGAGATAGTTGTAGCTTGTGGCAGTATGAACGCCTTTAAGAATGCAAACCATTTTTAGTTACCTAAGTGGTTCTGCTACGCAGTTCGACTTGCGTTTCGCACCTGTAAAGCGTCACTGCAAGATTTGGGGGGGGGGGAGTCGAACCCAGAACATATACTCGCAGATAAACCGATCGAAATGTTAAATAAGCTTGTATATCTGCATAAAGTCCGGCGGACTGGCTTGAGGCGAAATAACTTCCAGAATTAGAAGGACCAAGGCAGTCTTCGGCAGCCTCCGACATTTTTGGTGCTAACGTGACATCAGCTTGGCTCTTAAGGGTACAGTGTACAATGCGGCTGTCCCGTCTCGCCTACTCTATGGATCGGAGACGTGGCCGCTGTGTACAGAAGATCTTCGGGGGTTGTTTGCGTTTGACCATCGGTACGTCTCAAGCGTTGCGCGAGTCTAGTGAGGACATCAGTATTGCTGAACTATGCCAGATAGTTTTCGGGAAATTTCACTCTCGATAGCTCAGCTGGTCACACTGCACAGGTAAATCTCCTTAGGCAATCTGCTTCCTATGCCGGTGGACCGTTTGCTTCTTAAAGCCCTCTTCGCTCAACTTTGTATCGGATGGATACGACTGAGAGGCTGAGTTTGTGAATAGGCAAAGAAGCATAAAACTCCTTAGGAGTCAATTCAGTCTTCTTGGTGGGAGACCACGAGACGACAGAAATTAATGGTAGGCGACCGTTGTGGCTGTGTCACCTAGCCAATGACGGTTTCGCATCAAAGCTGTCGCCTTTTTTGCAAGGCTCTCACGTCCTGCCGTAGTAGACAAACAGATCCTTTTGTCGTCAATGCACTGATTGGACCATCACTTCCAACGTACGGCTCTCGTTCCCGTCTAATCCTTCTTCGTTAACGAAGCTGTAGCAGCTGGAGCCATGCACCTCGGTGCACTATTTGTGAGTTAAAAAACTGAACCGAACGGATTGGTTTTATCATATCATTACCCAGACCCTGAACCCGATGTGGAAAGTCCGGGGATGCATCACACGAACATATGAAGGCTACACATTTCCTTCACATGATGGACGGGGGGCGAGATAGTTCAGTCGTTAAAGCGCGATTTTCGTTGCCGGATGATGCGTGGTTCGAACCTGGCCTCTGCATATTGACTTCTCGTGTATAGGCTTGGGTAACCTGGTAGTATCTTGTGCTTCCTTCGAGTGGTAATGCATCTAGGTACCGAGAGGATGTTACAGCTGAACTTTTATTATTGTCATTTATTATTTCACACAATGGACGAATCGGAGCGGAAAACCTCGTAATTTCTTCGTTGAAACGCGCATCAAAAATGTATTTCGATTAAGGACGCTTTATTTTATACTAGTTGGTCATACTCAGCTTGTTTTGACCGCCCTCTAACAATCGGTGAGTGGAGCCGTATTTCCTGGTCAGCAAACACATTTCTGATGATTGGTTCAGGGTTTCGTCAATATCTTCTGTATTTTTTCTCCGACTTGTCCTACAACGCGTTCTGGTTTCAGCGGTGTGAGACCTCACATCAGTCATTCTACCTTATTGATTGATGAAACACTAAACCACAATTGTTGTTACGTTATTGTCGTTATTTCTTTTGTTGTTACCATCATCTAGGTACCCAGATCGGTCGGCTGACCATAGTTGGATCGAATGTGTTGTATCGACTCACTAACGACTGCTGGAACGTACGCTTAGAATCTGAGCATTCTGATTGTACGTGTCAGTAATGAAGGTGGGGGATGTGTTATTTCAGTGTGGTTCGGTGTTATTAGGGAGGATTGGGAAATATACAGACATTTCCAGTGATGGTTCATTGGACCAGCTAATTCACTCGTGATGGGGTATCCGATCTGAAGATACTCATCTGGCCATGCATTATGCAGCACCTGGACTGAAAACGATCAGCCTAATAATTCACTCTGTAAGTGGGCCGGGTGTCGATCATGTACCCCACTCCACCCGCGCAACAAGCACATGTAGTGATTGATCATATGCATTATCGTCAACGTAACGCGGATTCTGGTCTGATGCGCGAGCGCTGCTATTTCCGAAAATCGGTGAGAATATACCGATCCATCTGCCTGTTTATCCGGCCGAATGATCCTGACTTGTCACACCTCCAATTTTTACTCTCAGGTCGATGCCACCTGGATCATGTACAACTGCCGATCCGCGGGAACGAATTCAGACAATCGTGCCACTGGAGCGGCGAATTCCACGACCCAACTCCCCACTCCGGAACAAGCTGGACTTTTGTTCGGTCTCGGTCTGAACGGTCACCTGAATAAAATGACTCCGTTTGATATCGGGGAGTATTTGGTTCGTGTTCATGATCTGCATAATATGGCGGTATTGCTTGGTAAGCTTCTTCGGTTTGAATAGGAGGCTAGATGAATGCCCTCTCCTACTTCATAAACGTCCCGTTACCTACCAAGCTAAATAATCTGGGAAGTTATCATTATGCCGTCCTCCGCACTTTTCGTTGCGGTGATCAGTGGTTGGATTTTTATGGTATCCTTATGACTGTTATTAAACGCGTGCCATCGTAGCTTGTAAAGAAGGCAGACAAAAACTATCCAGCTTGCATTGAGCCTGTTCCAGTGCTTTCCAGGTCGTAATAGTTCGACACAGTTAGTGAAATATCAGAGAATAAGATCAGTGCTTATTGTCGCAACACTGTTTCTTCGTTACTAAGCCTACTAGCGATGGGAGACGATGTTTCGCGTAGCCCATTTTCTGGTAGAGGAAGAAGACCCGTTTCATTGAAATAGTGACATTAATCGTTGTGCTAGAGACAAAGGGAGAAAAAAGTGTTTCCGCTGAAATCAATAAATGAGCGGAGAAATATGGTGGTCTCTTGGCTACGTTCCTTTGTTTCCCTCTACCGTCCAATAATTGGGATGCCCCGAAATTACTCGTGCCAATTCGAAGAATTGACCTTATTTCGAAATCTATGATCGCGGCAGGCGGAATCCTACGCCACAACTGTTTCAACTCTCACAGTTAGGTGGTACAACCATTATTGAGCTCATCTCCCCTGCCGGTCCAGCAGCCAATCGTGTCACAGTATCCACTGAATGCCAGTCGTCATACCCCCAACACAGGGCGTCGGAATTTTGATGATCTTGGCGTTGCACTTTAAATATGACCAGCTGTACAGAGGTCTCTGACCCGCTTTTGGGCGTCTAGTACACTTTACGTAACTTTGGTAGCTCTTCAGCCTAAAACGTTAGCTTGAGAGGTCTGACCGAGAACTGAACTGAGGTATTACCTTTAATACAGACCGTTGAGTGATTTTCAAAGGGCGAACCCTCCCAATCCTCGTAGGATACAGTTTCCATCAATGTGGTTTGAAAAGTATGCTGTTGCAATTTCTCCAGCATTCCTTTCAGTAAGCCAATAAACACGGCAGTGGCTCACAACCGTCGAAGTTAATGGGCTTTCGCTCAACCTAAAGTGTTCATTGAATTCTTGAATCCTGCAGTTGAGTAATGTTTGTTTATCCTCAGTCGTGGTATTCTCCTGCCGGGCGAACCAGATGAACACTTATGGCGATCATCATTTCATGGTTAACCAAGGGTAGTTTCAGGGTTATCTACATCTTTTTGTTATACTTGGACGATACTTTAATCCGATTATCTTAGTAGCTGCCGGTTTTACTTCCCACTTCAGCTGAAGGATGGTGATTAATCTAACTATCTTTCTGGTTCCCATACTGTCAAAACCCAGTCCACCGGTTTCATCGAACAAACACTTTGACCTCTTTATCATGTTTTATGCTCAGGTCTGTGCGCAGGAAGACGAGGGAGCATGGATCAGTCAGTTCTTCGCCTATTGGCGATCCATTATCGACCTCTATTGCCCTCAGATCCTCTGGTACATGTTCAACTCGCGGTGCCAAGTCTGTGCCAAGCCGCAGCTGTATTCGGCTTAGGATTACTTTATCAGGGTTCTGCTCATCGGCATATCACGAATTTGCTCATCACAGAGTTAGGACGGTCGCTCAATGGGAGCACACCTGGCGGAACCGGTTCGAAGGGCCTCCAGCCCGACGGGGATACACAGCACCAGACGGGAGGAAGTACAAGCAATACAACGGGACCGGCTTCCTCTGGTGGATGGACAGGTGCTGCAGGTTCCGGTGGACTTGCCGGAGATAGCTGTGAACTTATTGCACTTTCAGCTGGTCTCGCTCTTGGACTCGTGTTATTACAAGTGAGGCTTCTATATCATTACAGTTTGTTGGTAATTTTGGTGTAATTGTTCATACCTTCACATGTTCTTGTTGGATGGCTTGACGGCTTGATATGTGGGGAGGGGGAAGCATACCTAGAGTCGTTTGCAACAGTCTTCAGATTTTGCTTCTTTTGTTTCATTATTCTAGTAACTGTTTCTGCTAACTTCATGCCAAGAGGTTCTACGGCAACTGGTGAACAGGCAGATAAAACTGAGCGCTTTTTTAGCGTACAAACGTGTAGTAAATGATCCCTTCGGTAACTCAAGGTCGCTTGAAATGAACCCTACAGCTTATACCCTCGTGTCCATGATCAGTAGAATAACGGAAGGTCTACCATTGTTGTTGATCTGAGTGGTTAAGCTCGTTGTCCTGGGACCAGATTGTTTACTATTTAACTTCTGAAAACTGTATTTGCGTTATTTTGAGTAATTTTTAGTCATTTCTGTGCTTTTAATTACTCTTTGTTTTCAATAGTTTAATTTCGTATGATGAAGGCATTGTTTTTAAGCAGATCACTGTCTTCCTCTCCAAATGGGCAGCCGCAACTGTAGGTTCCACTGTACTTTGACATGCAGCGTCCTGTCTTTCCAGACTGTCTGTCTCTATTAATGCAATCAAGTTGGGGACCAGGTGATATCACTCTCTTAAAAGCTAACTTCTAGGTCATTTTGGTGGCAGTACGGTTTCCTACCTAGTGACTACTTACTACGTCCATTCCATCTGGCGGCATCCGATCTGAACGTAGGTCATGCACTTTCACAACGATTAAAGGGAATGCAACGAACGTTCGACTGACAAACTAGGTCAGGGCTTTCCAAATCAGCGCAGTTATTAGGACCTGTCCATTTTGTTGACCCCATGGAATTATGTGGAGTGGGTACGTTATTTTCTCATTTCCACCCTGGATACGCGTCGCTCAAGTATATGGACTTATGGATCTATTGAACATGGTGTCCTCTCTTAAATTCATTCCCACGTGAGAAAAACCATGCGTAAAAAGTAGTACATAGGTGACACAGCTATGCCGATGATTAACGGATCTCTAGTGCATGTTTTCCGTGGATGTACGAATTTTGTTTTCTGTGCCTTACTGTTCTTTTCTTACAGTTTTGGGATTTAAATTATATTTCTCTTCAAAGCGCCGTTGGTGCTTCCTTCCGACCACAGATTTTCCTTTGGATATCAGCCTTGATTCTTTGACTTCAACGAACCATTTCATGCAATAATGGTAATAATAATGGGACCATCCTTTTTCTAGGTTCCAAGGATTTGTTCCGTCTTCAATCATCCTAATTGGGATAGACACACATGTTGCACCGGGGTCATTGACCCCAATAATATATTTCGGTGGGACCAAAAGTTGGTTTTTCTTGCGAGTTGTTGAATAGCTACGACTCCAACTTATAGATGTCTTGCGTACTGTACCACAAGCCTTGAGGAACAAATCTTGTGTCGACAAAACGTCAAAATTAGGCAGGAGCATTCGAGACGCCGAGGTTAAGTTCGAACCACCGATCGTCCGATCACTAAGTGGGCGCCCTAAGCATTGGGCTATCCTGAGCCCAGAAACATCGTGTCAGAATTGACTATCACTTTCTACGCTGGTATTTATGGTCTGCATTAGACGTATTTCTTCTAACCTTTGATGTGTTGCCGCATGCCAGCGTCGATTATCCGCATTCCATATACAGTGACTGGTGTATTTAATGATGGAAATATAATAGAGTATCCTTTTTCAAAGCCATCTGCTAAACTAAGTCCTGTTTGCGATTGCTGGTTTTAGTTTCGTAGCATTGTACTCTTTTTGTGTCGTTCTTTATTCCATGGCTGTACTTCCAAGTGCGTTTATCATTCCTGATAGTGTTTAAATCCTCTTCATATCGAATGTTTTTTGAACTTTACCTGCCTAATAAAAAACAACAGCGTGGCGATTCGCCTTGTGGATTGTCAGACCTTCCGTGGGCAGAACAGCTACACGCATACATGATTGGTGCACCACGGGTGACTCGCTTGCCTGGATCCTCTGGATACAAACATGGTAGCCTCAACTTCGCTGAAGATATTTGTGCTTGGACTGAAGCTCCCGGTCGGTTGCCGCTACGCCGTGCATCCGGTATGACAGCATATCGACCTGGCTTCGCATCAGCACCACCAGATGATGGCCTTTCTACTCGGTCAACAAGGAATGATCTGTCGCGTGTATCGGATCCTGGTGGACTTCGTAACGCGCTCCTTACTGACGCTGGACTGTTATGGGATGTTTCACCACTCGCAGCTGAATCACATCAGGACCTTGATATGCTTCCTCTTCCAGGTGAAGGGCGTGGGCGACTGGGTACTCGCACAACTCGATCTGTAAATGCGGTTTCACCATATACAGGTTCAGAAAGGGTTGATTTCACAGGTCGGTCGATTGACCGACGAGGTCCACCTGACTTAGGAATGTTTCAAGCCAGTTCTGCGAATCCTCAGGTAAGCAAAGGCAGACGGGATATTTGGGCGATTTGCATCGTTTTGTATCGCTCGTGAGACAGTCCATAAATCATTTGAAGTAAACCATTTTCCAACACTCTCAGCCCAACTTGGATCTCTTCTCTTTTTAATGCTAATATTTTGGCCGATCATGCAGAGATCAAGGTGCAATCACTTCATATGCTTGGGCAACCCCAGTTTATATGAGATATAATCTACGCTAATATTTGAATGATACAACAAAATGACAAAGGCTTTCGGATGTACACATTTCGCTTTTACCTGTTCAATCGCAATACTAGAAGCTATCGTGTTTTGTTACAAATGAGGAAGGAGCCAGTTGTATGGTGGGCCGGTTTTCATATCCAAGGCAAGTTAATAGATCGTGTCAAGGTCTCTTGTACGCATAAACTGGGTCGATAGTGATTGACCAATTGGAAACTAACAATTTCGGGTTGACATTACACAGTAAGTAAGTGAGAACACTGTACTGGGGTCAATTCCGTGTCCAATGGATAGAACGTGCTTGGCAATCTATGAGCGTGGTTTTCGGGTCTCAGCTTGGAAGCCACCGGTCGATCGGTTAGGTACATGGATCAAACAACGAGGCATGTGTTCCGACGCGTTCACATAACCTTCCGCCTGTTCTGCCAGTGTACGTTTCAGCGCAACTGCACGCGAACCGGTGCACAACGTGAGGCATCGGAGTTGCATCGGAGGTTAACTTGTCTCGTTGGTGGGGGCTGAATAAGTGAGCTACTAGGGTTGAACGACTGGTTATAGCACGTAATTTGTACCGTATGGCTGCGGTTAAGTACTCTCCCTTAAACTGCAACCTGACAAAATAACCCTTCCTTGTTGGTAGTGTGAGGAGATTTGGGATTTTTGTGGAGTTTTCGTCCTGTAAGTGAAGCCAATCTATGCTGAAAAGCCGAGAAGCACTGTACAGCTGTTTCATCCTAATTGGGAATCATCAGCAGTGCGCATCTCACGAAACTCCGAAGAGTCTCGAACCCGGGATCTCCCGGATAGTAGTTTGAACACTTAATCGTTCGGCCACGAGTGGTTGATCAGCAGTGTGATTAACTCGCACCTAGGCAGGATATAGCGCCGCTCATCGTTCAATCACGGGATCCACATCACGCGGTCACACCTGTTGACTGGCTCTTCGAGCGGCGCTATATCCTGTCTATGTGCGAGTTCACACTGTTGATCAGCCACTCGTGGCCGAACGGTTAAGTGTTCAAACTACTATCCGGGAGATCCCGGGTTCGAGACTCTTCGGAGTTTCGTGAGATGCGCACTGCTGATGATTCGCAATTAGGATGAAACAGCTGTACATTGCTTCTCGGCTTTTTCAGCATTGATTGGCTTCACTTACAGGACGAAATCTCCACAAAAACCCTTCCTTTTTTACTTGGTAGCTTATGCCGTGGACATCAATTAATTTTTTGAGTGGCATTTAGAAATCAGCTTTCATCTTCCTGAAGAGATTTTGGCGAACTATACGTCTGGCGTGGTCGAACAAATTGTATTACCCAGTCCATGAGGGGTTATGATACAGTGAACACTTAAAGGCGCCCTCTGAGCCTCTGACAACAAGGTTCAAAACTGTTACCAGTTTCTACCTCAAATGTTGGTAGAAGATTTGGATGTACACTGCTCATGCGGTTGTACAGGCTCTCAGTGTGTGTAAAAACTGAAATGTTGTCCACATATCTTTTGTATGGTACATTATTAGAGACCTCAACAGGAAAAATGCCTTTCAGTGGTCCCTAGAAAGACATCTGCTAATAAAGATTTAACAAGGACAACTCACTGCCATGCCATCGATTTGTTTATAGACTTGATCTTCAAAGTCAAAGCGGATATTTTCAGTGCATAGGTGAATCGTATCTTTATTTAAAGTGCAAGCAAGAAGGATCTATATAGATTTTACTCAGCTATATCCATTTGATGTTAGCTCATTGATATTGTTTGTATACGACGTATGCTTATGTCCATACTTTGCGGTACTTACCCCTGGTTAATTTTTGAAGCATGGTTAGTGAATTAATGAGTGCGTATGTCTGTCCTGTGTGGGATCAAATTCTAGCATTATGACGATGAAACGGTGATTGAGAACGGTACGTTTTTATTTCGCAGGGGCGGAATGATATAACAAATTTGATCCTCTTGTTCTGAGACGTTTGTCAAACCTGCCTCACATATTTACTTTCTCTAGTTTTATACTTTTGTTTACTATGCAGCCGAAGCGCTCTCATTTGGGCATTTTATTCACCTGATCTATTGTTTCTCACTATCAACGAATTTTAGTGATTTGAAACCGGACTTAGACGATTAAGGTTAACGTCTCCCATCCAAACTTCTATTTCGCCTATGCATGGGACCTTTCATGAAAGTTTCACGCTCCACGAATACTGGAATACTCTTCTGCCAGCGGTTATAATTTTTTATTCAAAAACTCCATTATTCATTTTCCCACTTAGGCTGTTTTTAATATACGACTGAGGGGATCCGCGGGTCCAACACCATGAGATGAGTAACAAGATATGTCAAGTATGGTCACAGGAAGGGTCATTGCCTTCAGCCTGTAGGCTTTTTCATTTAACATCAACCGTTCATGAGTTTCGAGTTTGAAGGAACTTCGGAGTATTGTAACAGAAGTGCGCGATCGAGACACCAAGCGAGCACTAACGAAGCTCGACGGGTCACCCTTCAAAACAACCCATTTAGCCTAAAACTCGTTTTACTGAGTAGTCATATCTGGTTTCATCTCTGCAATCGAGCGTCATCTGAACTATAGTATGCAGCGTTTCTCTGTGGGTGCTCACCGCCTGGTAATAGCACTAGGGTTATTGGTCTATTTTTGGCCTGAGTTGCGAACCAAGTTTCACCATACTGTGACGATTGTCTTTATGCGTTTAGTTTCGCATTAGTGTGTTTTTTTTGCACTTCATATCTCGCTTGAATTAAAGCGGCTTGGCGTGAAATGCAAAAAAATTTCCGGCGTGGGATTTCCAAGATAAAACTCGTTATCGATGGAACCAAATTCCACCACCACCAAATTCCCCGGATGTGCGGGAACTGCTGATGATTCTGATACCATGATTGGGAAAATTTTTGTCTAACATGGGCGATTTGCTAACACAGTACGGCCTCATAATCTTAGGGTTCAAAAATGACGGTGATAGTATCTTCGAACATTTCAACGCCTCAAAACTTTCACAAGTTTGTCAGGTGTGTGCTTTTAGACACGATGCAATAAATCAAACCGCATAAGAACTGGTAACTCCGAACATACTTGATTGTGTTCGTCCTTAGTCCTGGGATGTTTTTACATGAATAATTTGATTGAAACCGGGTATTTTTGTATGTATTCAATAAATTCCTGCAGAACGGACACCCGACACTTAAGAACAATCCGATTCTCCCCATGGATGTTCCAATTTGACGTCCCAGACATAGTATTTCCACCGTATTTAAAATTTTCTCTCATTTTTCACTAGATCAGAGAACTTGACTGCTATAATGCGGATGTCAGCGCACCCGGAGCAATAATGGCTTTAGGCATGGCTTACCTTGGTAGTGGAAGTGCAACAATCAGCTCTTGGCTCGTCGCTCCCAGTTCCCTCACCCAGCTGGAGTTGATCCGTCCAGACCTTCTTTTGTTCCGTGCACTTGCACATGGGTTGGTCAACTGGCACTCTATCGTACCTACAATTGAATGGATCCGATCATTCTGTCCCCCAGTGCTTCTAGATCGACTGTCTCGTTTGTCACAGTCTGCTTCCAACCAAAGTTTGCATAACCCTACCCTGAACGATGTCGCTGATGTGCCTACTGACCCCTTATTGGCTGAGCTGTCCAGCGAAGACGATGTGGAAAATCGGTGTCCGGATTTGCCTGTCACCAGTGCAATCGAGGGTAGAACACGGGCTGCGTCTCGTGGGCCTAATCAAGCATCTACCACTTTTTCTGTCCCGTCTTCCGTTTTGTTGAACCGCAGCACCCGCTCCACTCCTAGAAGACCTCAAAATCTCGTTGTCCGAGGCCAGTCATTGACAGCCGAACCAACTGATGCCGGTCGGCGTGACAAACTGTTTGCAGGATTGCAAAGTTGGGAAAATCAATTCTCTGTGGATTCATCTGGAAGAGTGGACGGAGAAGCTCTAGGGTTAGTTTATCTCATTCGCTGTATTTGTGCTCACACACGACTGGTAGTCCTTCACCAATTTGAGTATAACCGATTGTGTATGAAATCAGCTGATGACAAATGTCCCTTTCAGTGCAACTTCACTTGCAAGTATTTGTTCATTACCAATGAAGAAAGGTGAACAAGACTGAAACCCACAAGTTTGTCTCACTTTGGGGTGTAATACCACAAGAAACGCCTTCGTTTGTGGCCTCGAAGCCATCTCATTGTTTTACCGGTTGCCTTCATTTTTTACTCCTTTGCGCCATTGGTACTAGTCCCCTTACCTAATAATTGCTTCTGCCGTCCACAAAAAAGAACTCACATTCTCCAGTGTAGTCTATATACCCGCTTTCGTATAGCCAATATGTGTTGATTCAAGTATCATGGAATGTTCACAACCAAGTATGGCCATCTAGTAGTCACATATGATGAGGGTAGTAATTTTTACTTACGGGCCTGCGATTCTCATCATCCCATTGACATTGTGTTTCATCAGCCGAATGACTTGTAAGCTTTTTTTTAATCCTGTGATCATGCGTGTATTTGTGACTTCGCAGCTGAAATCTATAATGTGAATTCTGATGCGAATAAATTTATGGCACTGAGCTGACTGGCTGGTGAGTACATATGTAATCTAAATATGGGATTGTATCGGAACTGTTGAATATTTTGTGTAATAAAGTATGAAGTAAAAATCATACGGAAACGGCTTCTTCGTTTTTCGTCTTTCGGGAAACATTTTAGAAACGTCGTGCGAGACCTACGACGTCGAGGATACGGCAACCAGTTTTAAAACAAAAAAGGCCAGATGGCTTAGTGGTTAGAGCACGAATTTCCCGATCGGAAGGCCCGTGGTTTGAACCCCATTTCTAGTTGTCAACTTCCTCTTAGCAGTCCGTCTCCCGTCTGGCAGTATCCCCAACCTCGTGCAACTTATTGCATTTGGGGACTCTGTAGTATTCATTTTCCCTCCTACTCCACTTACACTGAGCGTTTACACGTATAATTGTTTTCTTCAGTGAAACTTGTGTTAAGTTACAATGTGTTCCAAGTTACCCAGAATGAGAATATATTTTTCGTTCTGGTTAGGGTTTTGGTTCAGGTAACATGTACGGTCAATCTACTCGGTTAAGTAATGCTTCGTGAGCCACAACAAATTGACGTACCATTCGCTGTCTACATTGAACCGGTTGATCATCAACGGTGTGAATCGCTTTCTCCGGGCAAAAAAGGCTGTCTTTTCTCAACGGGAAGGTGTCAGTTTGAGCGCTCTTTCTCGATATAGCTTTCTCCTACCGGTCTCTTGTGAAACGTGGTCGTTGAAAACGATACCGTAGTTACGTACATATTCATTAGCTGATGTTTTACTCATCAATTGTTTTCCACGTAGGTGTACTTGCCATGATGAAACAGATTATCTCTGGTCTTTTCCTAATTGCTGGTCGTATCATCTAGTGTGCGCTGTCACCCTTGCAGTGACTCTTGATCCACTCGATTTTACAGTTTGGCTTACTTGAATATACTCACGGGACGAGCATTTGTCCTCGGATTACGTTATGCTGGCACTTGTCATGCTGGTGCTGCTTCTTTACTGGTGAGTTCATCTGTTGGTGCGGTGCATGCGTACGTTTTAAATACTTTAAAAGACACGGTAATACCATTTTGTAAAAACATCAAATTGGCTCATATAAGGTGGATGGCTGTAGCTCATAGGCAACAACAGTAACTCGCTGGTTGTGCTGTAAACACTAGTATAGGCGTATTGTGAGCAATATGTAAAACCATACGGTGCTGTGTTAAGAGTGAGCGGAGGAAGCAATGCTTGTCCAGACCGGCTGCAATATTCGTTCGTCTCAAGAATCTTAGACGACTTTCTTCACAGAATGCTCTCCACATCACTATTGTCGCATTCGATATTAATGTGACAACTCTTTTCTCGACACAGGTGCCATTAGGCGAGAGGGCCGACCGAGATTTTGTGAGAGCTATCTTTTACTGTACTCTATCCCTCCTGTCTGCTTCGGACCACAGTGTCACGATAGATTATAATCATTGCTAGGGATGGTATGCTATTCCACCGCGTCAAAACATGTTAAGCCTTTATATCTGTACATATTGCTTTTATGTGACCATTGGTACCAAAGTTCTCTCTACCGTGATCTAAAATTGTATCTCTTCAGTTTGATGTGGCGAAGTCAATCCTCGATGGCTCCTGGTGGCCCAACATATCCGAAGTCTCTCCCACGGACCACCACTCAGCTGTTTCTCCACCTAGACCCACTCTAGAACTCGCCGCAGCACATTGCCTCCTAGCACTTTCAATGATACTGGCCGGTTCAGGAAACGTGACTGTTCTTCGTTTGGTACGACAGTTACGCGCCATACGGCTGTTTCACGCGAAAAATGTTGATCCGAATAATCGACCCTTGGACACCGATTCACAGTTTAAAATTCCTTGGATGAACATCGCCCGACTGAACGCGGTAGCGTCTGCTGCAGCTAAAGCCGCAGCAAGTAATGCGAGTTCTGCGCTTAATTCCTCAAACAGCGCGACAAGTGGACACATATCTATCGCTGCTGTATTTGGCGTTGCGTTGGGACCATCTTTTGGCATCCAATTGATCTATTCCACCATTGTGGGTCTCCTTTTCCTCGGTGGCGGCAGGTAAGTGTTATCCGTACTGCTCCATAATTTGAAGGTTGCGAGTGCTCTTTTATATCATTAATAATTAATGTTAATGTTAATATTATTAATATTAATGGTAAAGTTAAATTTCAAGGATAAATGTTCTCCTATCGCAAAACATCGCGAAATCTTTCAGAGCGCGGATCGCTGGAACACTTCAGATGATACGTTAAGTATCTAGAAATGTTTCGCAAACAGTTCAAGAATGAATCAGCTTTAATTGTAAATGTTCTCGGGGGTTTCAGCTCCTGGTAGCAATCCCAAGGGTTTGCACACCCCTTATGACATCTCACCCTGATGCTGATTTGATTCTAGACATTCTGCTGATCGTCTCAAAAAATTTTTTTCAAAACGTCTTTAAAAATATATGGTCACTGCAACGTTGAGAACGTATGTAATACTATCTGGATGTTGACTGTTCTCCTTTTACGAATTTCCCTATGTATGGAACTCTTGATTCATCTTGTTCTCAAACACCATCCGGTCACAGTGCGGTTTTATTTCGTTTTGTGCTAATTTTTACGCACTACTTCCTGACCTTTTATTTGTATGTTAACTAGGGTAATTTGGTTGCTATCAATGTTCTGTGAGCATAGAGACGCCTAATGTTTCCTTTACGTTAACTGAGGTAAATGCGAATTGGGAGTGAGAAGTTGGTGTTTTATACGATCGGCAGTTCCTGCCCTTACTTACTGTTCCCTCTTTATTTTCGAACTCAGACTGACGTTGTCCAACACGCCAGAGGCTGCAGCATTGCTTTCTATTGCGTTTCTGCCCATACTACCAAACTTCTCGGGCGACAATTGGTAAGTCACCTGCAGATTCCTCAGGATTTGGATGTCAGTTATTTTGTGAATGTACACCAATAGACTCACTATCGCTTGGAACGGTATAATTCAGTCCTATTGTCCCCGACTTGGCGTAGTTCCTGAGATTGTGCAACCAAGGCTAAGTCTGTGTCTAAACGACAAGTTCGTTTACAGTACTACCAGACACCAATTGCCCCTCTGTTGACTCACTTCATGTCGTCTCTGTGGTTGCTGCATAATTCACATGGTCAGTCTTCTCAGCATAATTTTGTGAAGCTGCAAGTTGCTTGTTACTCTTCTTGCGTATCTAGAAGGCTACACGCTTTGACAATGACCAGTTTTACCCTTTGTTCTCATGATGTTTTCCTTTATATTTCGTACTTTGTGATAGTGCAGTTTGGCTTTTGTTCGCAGTTCGCGTAAACATTCATTTTACACGTCTGTGTGGTTTGGACGAATTCTAGGTACCATCTTCAAGCTTTGCGGCATATGTACGTGTTGGCCACTCGTCCCAGACGTCTGTGTGCTGTTGATGTTGATACTGGACGTATCGTGCTATCTGATATGTACGCAATGCTCAAGGTAAGCTGTTTTCATTAATCCATTGACGCAGTTCCCACGTAGTGACTCAAGTTGTGTAACTGTATAAGTATTGAAAACGCGTATTTTCATCTCTCCCTCGTGCATATTGCTTAGATCATCACTTGTGTCTCGTCCTTACTGTGCTTTAGAATCCACCGACGTTCGTTTCGTCTAAGGATACGGCTGTTTTCCCCACTAATCGACTCGACGACTTTGCTTGGGTAAGTTAGACTGATCCACCTACTATTCGGTTACTACAGTACATCCTTTCGTCATCCTATCCTGCTCCTCATAGAACATCTCGTGACCTGATGATTCTGATGTTTGGCGGTACCATTCAGGCTGTGTACCGGCTGTAACACTAGTTTTGAGTTTAAGGAAATTTCTGGCTCTCGCACTGTGCTCCTTTAATCAGTACTGAAAATGAAGGTTTGGATCTTTTGGAAATCAACACCTATTATGCTGTGCTAGGTAGTAACCGTCCACTTTAGTGCTAGCCACCCATTACTTCCTCCATTTATCTATTCATTTGTCTAGTCTGTCTTCCAATTTTCCCTGCCTTTTACAATACAGATAGAAAGCAACCGCGGATCAGACAAATACTGGCCGACGATATTTCACAATGGAACACTCAACTGGGAACACTTGAAGTGTGTATCTTCTTGTCTACCTGTTTACTGTCTGTTGATAGCAGGTTCTAGTCAGGATTCATCTTGGGTGGTATTCATATGTAGGCTCTCCATAGAGGAGAATGTCAGTAGCTCAGGTAGCGTAGATGGTCGTTGGCTTGTTCACTGGGCTGGGCAGTTTGGTTGCAAACGTTTCATCACCAATCGAGGTGACATCCTCAGTGCGACCATATGTAGGCTATGCAGATGGAGTGCAGTTAGTTGGTCTGCGCTACGATAGATTTCCAGCTGTAAGTACAGTCTATTCACTTTCAGGTGCAACTGAACTCATCAGAGTTTTATTTAACCCGAATGCATCTGTTGGATGACTTTTTAGATACACAGGTTATCACACTGATCTATGAGATTCAGCCGCAAGGTGACTCAGGAAAACTGAAGGATGAGGGATCCATATATATCAGGTTACTTGGTCTTACTCTAAGTTTTTCTGGGCTAGATGTGGTCGATAATGTGGACATTGTCTGGCGGTAGCCACCTTTAGGTATTCTTGTGAATTGTTTTGAATTTTTGTTAATTGTATAAACTTGGATCCTGATTGTTCGTAGAGAACGACGGTTGCGCCCCGTAGAGTGGTCTTTGTTTGGCGTTGGAAGAGGGTAGATTTGGGTGGGTTAGAAGCTTCTCCACACCAATAAACAAGTCTGCGGCTATTCTCAGACCAAATTTGTTTCTCTTTTTCGTGAATCTAGCTGGCCACGCACCCCTACGTGAATCGATAAATCACATGAGATTTGTGTGACAGAGGTTGTGGGAAGCTGGCTAAGGGATTTTGTTTGTTGGTGTGAGTTGTCAATTAGTAGGACCGATTGTCTAGGGGGAATTTGAGCCGGTTCTGGGTGTCTGGTTCTTCCGGTTCGGTTCATGTGAACATTTGTTTCATCACCATCATCATCATCATTATCATCATCATCGACAGTATGACATCAGTGTTCAACACCGATGCTTCAGTGGCGAACACTTGTCTAGATTATCGCTTGCAGTATTCATTTATCTCTGTTGGTGGACAAATGCTAAGACAGTTGGGTACGAGCGGAGCGTTTGCGCGGTTTTGCTCGGGTTGGGTGTTTTTATCTCTTAGCGCTTCTACTGATGATTCCGCTTGCATGATACTTGCAGCATTGTGCAGCCCCGCTTATCGCCAGCTGTGCGCCCTCTGTTCTTTTCACCCTGTACTTCCAGCAGCCACTCCCTCAACTTGTTGAGAAAGTGTAGCAAACGGTTTAGTACACACTGGATGCACGTCTTTCAGTACCATCCTTTAAGACTAACTCGTTGTCTAACCCCATAAGTTATCGCAATGTCCGATGATCTTTTTGCAACTAATCTGTGGTCTGCTTTTCGCGAGAGACCGTTTCCCGCTAGCAACTCCCCTATCCTGCATGGAGCTTCGGTACAAACATGTTTAAACTATGAATTTGCTTCATTGTTCACAAGTATACCATTAAGAAATTTCGTGTAATTCTGTTGAACGAGACGGACTACACGACATACAGGCTGCTAGTAAAATGAACTACTTCTAGTGTGCCCAAAAAACATCTACTTCGGTTTTCCAGTCTCCTGCTGCATACTTTTGGAGCACTTTGGAGTACTTTTTGGAGTGGCCAAGGGAGGTCCACTAAGACTCGTTGCGGCGGTCAGCTTGAAGGAAACAACGGAAATCTTCATATGAAAGTGTGTTAAGTGCGTGGGGGATAACTATACAGTGCGTTTTTGAGACGGTCCCTCGTCGGGTTTCTTAATACACGACCATCCTAATGCTCAACTGACCTTCGAACATGGAGACAACAACCAGATATCATCCTTGACTGTTGGATTACACAGCCCAGTTGATGGGCGCATCAGTGATCCTACTTCACACAATGAATCTATGGTTACTTCGATTCGCCGATCAGTCGTTATTGCAAAGTGGGGACCAGAGCTGTGCAAACAGCATCAGTTATTAGCTTGCTGATGCTACTGTAGTGATCCGAAGGCTGATGTTTTAACATTAGTTTTTTTTCCGGACAGTTTCGCTTATCAAGTTGACCCATGAGATGCAGTAAAATACACCTTGTTTGTTGTGCAAACCTGCAATACTGTGCTGTTTTGGCTTGGACTTTGATCACAAATGTTTTCTTGAATATGCCTACATTTCTTGGTACTCAGATGTGCACTCGAATCTGCCGGATACTTCTTTGTCAAACGACGGAATAAGAATGATGAGAACGATCTATTCAAACACTGGGTGAGTTGGAAATTGTATGGGCGCCGTGTTCGTATTTTGATTCTGAGGAATTTCCTGTGAAATCATCATCATCCTGTTTAATTGTCCTCTCATTGAAACTTCCAGTAGGTTGAGATTGTCAATCTTCAAAACATTCTCTTGGACCCACTTGATCCGTAGAAATTGGCGATGGGCTTAGGATAAGGATACACGTGCATTTGATTAACCAGTACGCATTGCTTTCCCACTCTCGATGCTCCCGTATTTCTATCAACGTGGTTGTTTCGCACTTCGATGGTGGCAAACATATACCTACTTTCTCCACCAATCGTCTGCATGAAGGTGGCCCGTTATTGCAGTCTCAATTCGGGAATTCCCACACACTGACTTTGTGAAAAGCGGTTGTCAATCCCATATTGGTTCCAAAGGTGTAGGTTACAGAGAGCCTTTAAATTATGGTTACCCATATTATTTCGATTTTCTGGCATACGTTGACGGTTTATGGGCTCTACTTATATCAGTATAAGGGTCGCGTATTACGTGTTCTGTTCAGGCTGTAGTTCACAATCGTTGGAAATAACCCCGATTCGGTCACCATGCACTTAACAACCACTTAACAACCAAGTAATAGAATCTATCGCCCTTCAGCTATTGTGTAGAGTTAATTCTCTACATAGGGCTGGCGACAACTCTGTTGGTTATTGATGGTGAGGTTTTATATTCTCAAGAGACGGTTATACAGGTAGGGGGTGCACACAACTCTCACTGGGTACTTTTGACTTGATGCACGAGTACGATTAGTTGTACTAAAGCCATAAAGTCGAAGGCGGCGAGCAAACGATGCAAGGTCATTATGAAGACCTAGCACGGGTTACCTATACTTGATGAACTTGATAAAGGGGTGGTTGATATTAGGTTTATTTATGATTTCTTCTAGAGTGCCCTAACTGTATTCGGTACGAGTACAATCAAAGAGATTGTGGGCTGTATATGACTTTTTTGGGTTGGGGGAGTCAACATTGGAAATACAGGTCTTTTGAGTCCAATGTTTTGGTTACTGTGGGAGATCTTCAATACGAGCAAAGCAATCAGATTCTCAAACCTTATTTCTCTTGTTCTGTTTGATTCCAATTATTTTACTTCTCACGAAGCTCACCAATGGTGACTGATCTGAACGCTGTCACTGCAATGGTGCTTTAAAATTCAAAGGTACGAACCCAAAATGGCCTCTCAAAATTCGCCTATGAAAAGTTGACGATGTTCACTAGGTTCGAGTTCCCGGCGAACCCCACCAATACACCGCGTGTTTATAACCATAGGAAAAAATGCGCTCGTAGCTTCTTTTTTTAAAACTATGCACTTCTTACTTTCTGTGTTGTCTTGTTTTTGCTTACAGTAAGGTTGTGGTTTTTGCCTTGCCCCTTTTTCAAGTTTGGGAGTGATGCACCCGGCCGTATAACGGACTTGCGAACGCTGTATCAGCTGAAATTGATCGTCACCTTCTTGAGACGATTCCCTCCGACGCAACAGGGAACCACGAAACAACCTGTTTACTCAAGTACAATCACTTTTAATCCGAGTAAAGCTTTGGCTGCGGCCGTCACTGAGCAGTTTGTCCAAAAATTCAAAGGTACTTTGTTGCACCTTATTCGATATAGCTTTGTACGGTTGCTTATTGTCTTTATACTAAAGTTGATTTCTCTCTTTTGACTTACTTCCCGTTTCTTACAGACGTTACGCAATCGCTACAACTGTACTACTTCGGTAACCATCACGGGGATTCAAGCCCTTCTTTGCAGCTGTCAACAGCGTTTCGGGTTTGGTTCAGTTTACCTGACCGTCACGTCCTTTCGCCCATACTATCACGGGGTTAGTTCTGATTGCATGTGATCATATACGTTATAATTTTCAATGTTTGATCTTTTCCGGTCATCTTTATTCACTCATCTTAGATTGCTTCTTATGTATCAGATGTCTGGATACGACAACTCCCGTATATTTGGTAGGATTTCTTTAGTTATCTTTGTTTTCTTTTTCAGTTGGAGCTCAACCTACTCTTTCTCAGTTCTTAACGGTAATTCGTTCTACTTGCCCTTCGTTGACTCCAGTCACCAATATCTTTTGGTTGCACAAATTCTTGTATCCGCAAACACCAGAACCGAGATCAGGTGATCTAATTAACTGTTGACCGACGGACACACTTGAGACCTGCTTGTTCTATTCCATCCTGGTCGGCTTATGTACTCTGTACTCTTGTAAATATCCTCCCATTTTCGGTTATACACAGACTTTATGTATCAGCGATTGACTTCGTTTTCGAGTGAACCGTCAAGCTGTTATAATTTGAAAAGTACCAATTCAACCATATTCGACTCAGATGCTCTGTACACAGTGCCTTGTCGGTAATCGTTAAGAATCCAGTACCATACTAGGTTCGTTGCAGTCGGGGTTTCTAAAACTGTCTGTCTGAAATTCAGCTAGCGATGATCCGTTTGTTGGTGAAACCGTGGTGAATTCCATCCTTCTTATTCAAACAAAGTGAGACATTTATTTGATTGAGAGGTGAGCTAAAGTTCCTTCGAAATGCAGCTGAGTTCTCGGTGGAATTAACAACTAGGCGGAATTCCTTGATCAATCATTCTACTGATTCTGCAACTACCGAAGTTTTCGCTGCCTCTTTCAGTAATACCGTACGAATGCTCATACCTGGTACGGGACTTTCTTTTACGTATGTTATGCGCATGGTAAAAGGCTTTCAGAATGGTTTGCTCGCTTTCATTATTTGGACTGTGTAGTAGCTACTTCGGTGTGTCCGAGATTTAGCGCGTGTGTCTTATGTCTTCGTTTCCAAGCATTACAATCCTAAACCTTCTGTTGTCGCACAGCGATTCAAGTTCAATACAAGGGTACAAAAGGAAGGAAGATGCATTGCGGATTTCGTAGCGGAATTACGAGCCTTACGGAGCACTGACTACGGAGATTTTCGAAACGATATGCTCAGAGATCGCTTGGTAGTTGGTGTGAGAAACGCCCACATGCAACAGTGTTTACTTGCTGATAGTAACTTAACTTTGGAAACGGCCTACGATACTGCGGTGGCATTGGAAGCAGCAGAAAAT